ATGAAGCTGTTGTCTGTGTATCGACTGTATGACGAGATCTGTGAATTTATTGCTCTTCGCCAACATCACTGGCATCCTGGCTCTATCGTTGAGATGGACATACTCAAGTCTGCCGGCGGCACAGACAAGATCATTGTTATCCAGTTGAAGATTAAGTTGACGAACTAAAGTTGGTCTAGTTTTGGTTTCTTTCTTCAAATACTTCAGGTCTTCAATAAAGTACTCTTTTTGATGCGCCTTCAAAATGACATTTTCTGCTGAAGTGAGTTCTGCTAGACCAATGTCTGTCGGTTCATCACGCCTGGGTACATCTTGAATAGCTTCCGGGTTTCTGCAGTTGTTCGTGAAGCGTATAACATGAGCTGCAGATCGAATAAGACAGTCATATGAATTGAATCTGGATACATCAAAGAGACTGCTTAAAAACCCATTTGGCGTTTCTTCAGATTGAACAGATGCTAAGGTGATAAAAACTCTATCATCAGATTTGACGTCTGGAGGATTCCATTTTGGCCAATCTTGAGGCGATGATAACCATGGAGGACCGTTTTTCCATAAGGTAGACTGTAAAAGTTCATAAGCCAAACATCCTCTAGATGGAAGGTCTGCAACATTATCCTCAGAACTGACATGAGACCAACTGTTGAGCTTGGTGAGGTCAAGGATTTCCTTCTTACGATTCTGGACAAATACTGGCAACTTTTTAGAAGAATGTAACCAATGCAGACATATCGTGGAGTCCGTCCAAAAATACGACGATACCAATTGGAAGTCTTTTTGAAATATCTTCTGAAGGTTGTATGCCAGTCTGGAACCAATAACCATGGCAATTAACTCCCATCTAGGAACCGAATGACGATGTTTAATGGAAGCAATTTTATACTTGGATCCAACAAGCACGACATTGTCATCTTGAACAAGGAAGCAGGAACCAGCAGCAGCACTGTTAGGGCAAGCATCACAAAAAGTATGAAGTTGAACCTCTCTGCTAGTGTCCAAATTAAGATAACGAGGAACGCTAAACTGCATTGCTTCTTCAATTTCATTCATAATGTCTCTAAATTCATCTTGAAGATTGGCAGAAATCAGTTGATCCCATTCTAGTTTTAATTCCCATATTGATGCTATGAACCTCTTTGCGGGTACAGTAACTGGAGAAATAAGACCAATTGGATCGAAAACCGATGATGCTAAGCTTAAAGCTTGACGTTTAGTGAGTTGCCCTGGATTAAGAATTTGGAGAGCCTTTTTTGGAAATTTGATGACATCTTGAGAGAAATCCCATTCCATTCCAAGTATACCAGATGAACTTGCAGTAGACCCAGTCGACTCAACTTTTACCAGTTGTTGTAACATCGCTGAATTGCTGAACCATTGTCGTAAGTTCATATCCGCAGACTTCATTAGTTTTCTAGAAGTCTTGTAGTAGGTAACTGCACTTTCCTCATCTGGCTGACCAGACAGAACATTGTCACAATACAGTTTATCTCGAAGGTCGTTGGCTACACTCAAGGTGCTCTCATCAGAAGTGTTGCAACATCTATTCAGATGATACAAGATGACAGCATTGAGAATAAATGGAGAGCTGGTTCCACCAAAAAATACTGATGTGTATCGATATACCTTCATGGATTTGCTTGGGTCGCCATCTTCATACCACAGAAATCTGACATAATCTCTATCTTCTTGTAGCAGCTTGATTCTAAGAAATGCTTTTTCGATATCTGCTACAAAGGCATACTTCTGAGTACGAAATTTGTGAATGAGTTCGTGTAGAGATCTTAGGAGGCAAGGACCTGTGTGTAGACAATCGTTCAGTGACGTTCTACCGGCATTAGCTGCAAAAACAACTCGAAGTGGTGTCTTCTCACTGTTAGAACGAAGAACAAAGAAATGACTGAGATAGTGACAGTTAACTTCATCCCATTCTCTGTCAGGTTCCACGGTCTCTATATAACCTTTCTTCAGTTGGTCTTGAATGATCTTGTCGTAGGAGTCCCAGAGTTGTAACTTAAGTAATCTTCGTTTGACCTGTTCAAGACGACCAACAGCGATTGATAAGTTTGACGGTAGATCTTGGTGATCATCAAGCCATGGTAAAGGTGCGTAGTAGGTGCTTCCATGATACTCTATTTGGCTTATGAAGCGTTCGATGAAGCCATCATCTCGTAGCTCGTCAGTGGAATTGTTGATGCCAATATTGTCAAAACCTAAAGCAACTTCTACTTGTTGGTGTAAATTGACATCATTGGTGGAAGGTGATAACCATGAAATGACTGTGTTGTGGGAGTCCACAGCAAAGCTTTGCGTACAGCGTTGAAAACCATTGTACTCTGACTTTAGTGGTCCTGAGAGTACGTATCCAAGTGATGAAGCTTGAGCAGTTGGGAAACCACTAATCACGTCTGGTTTTAAAAATTTCCATGCCGAATCAACTCCCAGCAGTATGTCGACTTCAAACAAAGAATGTTGAAAGGTGTCGGCAAGGGTTAAGCCCTGTAGGTGAGGCTTATCAAGACACTCAGACCAGTGTTCACAATTGATGGGGTGAACAATAACGTCCTTGAGTAAGGTGTCGATCGTGATGGGACCATCCTCTGTTATGACGTCAAAGGAGCAAACAGGAAACTGCTGTCTGATGGATTTTCCTCCAAAGGTGTCGATTTTGACGAAGCAATTGGCGTGTGGAACGATGTTGAGGTTACTGCTAAACTTGGTTGAGGTGTATGTCAATGAAGATCCCTCATCTATAAAGATGTTAGCAGATATAATGATGTTGTCGTTTTGAACCATTGCAGTAGCTGTCTTCAAAAGAACTGGAGAAAATGTTCTGTGAGTTTCATCAGATGAATTCCTGCTGTCAGGTAAACCATCACTGTAGGTAAGACTCTGAGTAAAGGCAGTTGTACCAGACTGGACTTGCTTTGATGTAGTAGGCTTCGAAGTTTGGAATGCCTTAGCCCCATGAATACTCGTGTGATGTGGTTCTCTGCAAACTGAGCAACGCCACCTACTAGGACACTGAGTCACAGAGTGGGTGGGTTTAAGACAGTTTAGACATAGATTTGCAGATTGAACGGCTGACATACGATCTTCTGTAGACATGGTACACTGGAACGTGTTGTGCTGTGCTTTACATATTGAACAAGTTTTGGTTGGCCTGTTGAAAGCTTTTCCTTTCTTCGAAGAGTCAGACTTTGGTTGATATAATGCTGACATAGATGTGACACTGCCTGTTGATTGTTGAAAACATGAACCATTTACTGGAGTCTTGGTCTGTATATTGGCTGGCTTGCTCTTCATGGACTGAACGTTGGGCTGGGCATTGAAGTATGCTACTTGTTCCAGCTTTTTCACTTCGACGTGAATGAATTCCATCAGTTGTTGCAAGGAAGGGTTATCATCAGGATACTTCTCTAACAAACCAGTCAGGACATCAGCAGGAAGTTTCTCTATCAAGATTGGAACATAAAAGTCACCATATGTATTCTCTGATAAACCCAGAGTCGAAAGCGATCTAACATCTCCATTAACTGAATCATAAAATGTTCTTAGTGAAGAGGCTGTATATTCTGGTTTACCAATACTACAAAGAGCAACACAGTGTGCATTCTTAATAGCTGTTTTGTTTCCGTAATTATCTTCTAATGTCTTTACCAGTAGATCATAGTTGGCATCGCTGGCTAGTATACCTTCAACTCGCTTCTTGACTGTTTCTGATAGTTGACCTCTCAGGAAATTGAATTTTGAAACGTTGGAAATATCATGGCATCCGTGTATTTCGCTGTGGAATACGTCCCAAAAACTTATCCACTTTCTTCGATCACCATCAAACGTAGGCAAAACCATTTTAGGTAGCTTCACGGCAGAATGTTTTGCGAGTTTACGATGGGGGTTTTGATCTGGAGAACTTGACGTGGGCAGTTCTTTCAGGGTTCTGTAGTACTCTTCCAGGCGATTTATCAGCAAGGCATGATTATCGGACAAAATATCAGCTTCCTGAAAATCAGTATCAGCCAATTCATCATTTTCCAATCTTGAATGGTATTCTTGAATTTCTTCGTCTAAATTGGTAATTTTCGCTTTTGTGTCTTTCAGCTTGCTCAGAATTACACCTAATAGTTGCAAAGTTTCAGGAGATCTATCGTCATTTTCAATAAAATTGGTGATTCTTCGATCTTCTTTTGTAAAAAGACTGCGAAAACTAGCTCTTTTTCTTACTTTTATTCTTAAGGATTCTTGGATTCCCCTCACGTACTGTGCATCATCACTGTCAGGTTTTGTAGACTGGTCAGGCATGATGTAGAAATAATTTGAAATAAGAAACAGCAGAAGAAATTTCCAAACATTTCGCCAGTTGAAATTCATACAGTTTATTTTATAGTGTACACATTTTGAAAAACAGTGTTGAAAATAATGTCTAATTACTTCTAAACCAGTTCTGTTCTTCTATCACGGCACCAAATTATGTGGGAGTTGGTATACCACATAAGTATGAAATAACAAGAGGAAATATAGACACTATATTACACAACACATGTTCAATCAACAACTGTTCTGAAAAGCATGCAGAGGAAGTGGTTATAGGATAGTCTCTAACATCAAGACACTTTTACATTGTATATCAATAAATTATAGTCCGAAACACTCCGATCTATTTTGCAGATTACACAAGAAATATGGAGCACAAACTCCTTTCAATTCGACTGTCATAATTAACATGCAGAATGGCGTGAATTTAACATTCAGTAACATGCGTCCAATGTCCTATTTATATTGTATAGTTAAGCTTCATAATGTCTAATGTCCAACTTTGTAATTCATGAAACATACACACAGCACATCGTAGTTATTGCCATTGCCTCTTTCAGCCCATTAAGAGTAGATACGTAACACCATTAAAGAGAGTAACTATTGAACCAGTATCAGCGAGAGTCCCGGGAACAGCTCGTTCTGTACAAGCACCTGTTTCACCTTATCAGTTACCCAATGAAGACCCCATGAAAAACTTTATGTCAGGTTAGTGTAGCACGAAAAATACGAAATTACAAAATCGTTTTTAGAGAATATAAATGGAGAATTTTGTTTTTGAACATCTCTGGCCAATTCTCATAAGATCGGTTTGTATTTGCAGTGACGATATAACAGTTTTCTCCTTTATATATGGAGAACTTTGACATTGGCCTGTGACCTTTTTGACCCTTCTGTTTTCAGGATATACAGGATTTGTACCAAGATCACGTGGTATAATTGGAATGAGTTATCCCATCATAACCCACGAAGCTTTGAACACATTCTCCAATGAAACCTACAGATCTAAGATGTTGAGTCAACAACCAGTCAACCTCCATCAAGAAGAGCAGAAGATTGTGAACATGAAACAGATCTACCCCAAAGAAACTGGTTT